GGCCCAGGGCCGGCTGTGGGGCCGGGTTGTGGGGTCCAGGGCCGACTGTGGGGCTGTGGAGTTGTGTTATGAGGCTGGGACCTGGCTGTGGGGCCGGGCTTATGTAGTGGAGCCACGTTTGTGCTGTGAGGCCCTGCTGTGGGACCAGTGCTAGGCTCAGCTGTGGGTCTGGGGCCAGGCCGTGGCACTGTGGGCTCTGCCGGGGAGCTGTGCTGTGCTGTGGGGCTGTGACTATGCTGTAGGGCCAGGTATTTGGGGCTGTCTGCCTTCCCAAACCCTGTGTTTGGGGCCACCTGTGGGCACAACCCACTGTGACTGCAGCTCCCGATCCCAACCCCTCACCCAGGGACTTAAACGTAAAACGTGCCGTATTTGCAGCTTCTCACGATAAATCTCTAATATATACTGTGCTGAAGTGGTACAGACCCTCACTCATGAGGGTCCCACCATGGCTTCTGGCAGGTTGTTTGTTTGGGGTTTTTAGTTGTCAAGCTGGCAGTGTAACTGGTGGTATCTGATAAGTGCTCTGATGCGCTCGGGAGTTCCTCGTCAGAGGATGCCGAGATACAGCTTGTTGCCTTGGAGTTTGTTGGGGGTAGTATGTGAAAGGCACACACCCTCCTCCCTCGCACAGGCTCCTAGGAAAGTGGTGAATCACTTGGGCAGCGTGTCCCTGCCCATAGCTCTTGATAAATCCTGCTACACAAACCACAGAAAAGGAGGAGGAGGAGGTGCATGACCCTGTCGCACTTCTCCAGAATGCTGTTGTGAGGTCGTGACCTGGTTGTCTGAACTTCTGGGCTTTGTCCTTGCATGGGTGGTCTGAGCGCAGCTTAAGTTGGGGATCACACAGCAGAACGTCACTTCATCTTTAACGGAGGTTAATATTGGTCTCTGTTAAGCAGCTTTTGGTCACAGAAGTCAGAATGGGTTTCTCTGTATTGATTCAGACACATTTGATTTCAAAGGTCTTCTGAAATTTTTAAAAAGCAAAGTGCAACCAGTCATACCCAAAAGTTCACGATAGGAACTTAATCTTTCACTGCAGGAACAGCAAAAAGGCCAGATCTGTGCTTTGAAGTTCACTCATCTCCCATTTTCACTGAGTTTCTAGCTTCAGAAAAAAATGTTCTGTTCTTTCCATCACAAAGTTTCTATAAGTTGGGAAGGGCACAACTTCCTGATGCTCTGGGTCAACTTCAAACAATTTCTGACAAAGCCAATGCCTATAAATACACATACCCCCCATCTCTGACTCAGCTGTTACTGAACCAGGCGACTGCTGCCTGCCTGCACGGTGACACACCAGATTTATTGCTATTATTATCTGATGTGCAGCACAGTCATGGGAGCTGTAGGGAGATCATCCTCTCTAGAAGCTTTCTGGCCAGTTCCTGTAACTTTTCCCTCTGCTACGCTGTCCGCAGGTGCCTTGAGAAGCAATGGCCACAGCGGCTCCTCTGAACTTAGCACCACCTCACCTCTGCTTCCCTTCAAGCACAGCAGCTGCTTTCTTGGGACCAAACACCACCACCATGCACGTTGCCAGGCCAAAATCTGCTAAGGGCCGCACCAGGCCAAGCTTCAGTTGCTCTGAGAGCGTGGAAGCCTGTCCTTGCCGAATGCCACCTTCCCTGCCACCAGCAGCTCCTCCCAAACTTGTGAAGAACCGGAGAGCGTCATCCACAAAGCCGGCATTCCCATCAGGCCAGGTGTCTCCTAAGGAAATCCCGGAGCTCCTGCAGCAAGTGCCTCTGAGGACCTCTTCCTCCCTCAACAAGTACAAGGTGCTCCCCTCCATCGGCTGGAAGGGCGGAGGGAGCAGCGCTGTGGAAGCCGTGGCTGAACAGATTGACCGGCTGGAAGTGAGTGAGGGGCGGGAGGAGGCTCCGACAATCAAAACTCTTTCTGAAGAACAAGGATCTGCCGGTGCGTTGTCAGAAGCCGATGTCCCTGGTGAAGAAAGCTCACATGCACAGTGTCCTCCTGAGACAGGAAGGAAAATGAGACAAGAGAGCCCTTTGACATCGACTTTAAGTTTGGAAGAGCCACCGAAAGAACAGTCGCACTTGCTGCTCGCTATTCGATCTCCCTCTGGTCAGAGATTTGAACATCACTTCAAGCCCACTGACAGCCTCCAGAGGGTCCTTGCTGTGGCGGAACAGAAAACATCGGCCAAATACAAATGTTGCTGCGTGGAAACGGTGGAGGTGCCCTGCAGGAGCTTCTCTGACCTTACGAGATCCCTCCGCGAGTGTGGGATTCTCCACAAGTCCGTGCTGTGCATCCGACAGACAGAGCAGCACGACGCAGATCTTTAGGCGCACAGAGACACCACCGCACCGCTCTGAGTCGTTCTGCTGAGTGGGCTGCATTACTTTTTCCAAAAAGCTGAAATTCTGATGTTTCCTGGGCCTGCTCCTTTATCTTGCCATCTTCCTAAATTTCCTCTTGAGGCAGACGTGTGTGTATATGTTGAAATAGTATTTCAAATGTATATAGCTTCTTTTTTTTCACATGTGCCATCACAAATTGCTTCCTGGGTGCCATCAACCTTTGGCCTTTTGTTTTGTTGTTGTTCCTTTTTTTTTAAATTGCCAGTGTTCTTCTTTGAAGTTCCCAAGACCTCTCCCCTTGTCTTTTTCTGTATTTCAGGAAGGTACTGCTTCCTTGCGTGGATCTGGATTCAGAGGAATGTATTTGGGAAGGTAGAAAGAGAACTGTTTTACTCCGGAGGACCATGTTCAGTAGGTAATCATCATTTTAAAGCAACTTCTTCTCGAGAGTGACTGAAGCAGAGATCAAACCCAAAAACCATCTGGAAATAACAGTAATAACACGTAAGGGATTACTGTGAAGTGTTAAATTGTAAGACCAATGGTGATGTGCCTGTGAGGGCTCAGCTCTTTCTGGATAACCTCAGTGCAGCTTTTAAGAGCGTGACTACATATTTTTTAAGAACAAAGTTATTATTTTGCCTGTACTGGCGAGCAGCAGGATTTTCTACTTAGTTTTCCTTCTCTCATTCAACTCGTGTGACCCATAGGTAAGAACAGATGGAGAGTCAAGATGAGATGTTACGAAACCCTTCCGTTTAACCCCTTGACACTGAAGTGAGTTAAGCCAAGGAAGCAAGTGCTGCTTTGAGAATTTTTAAGTAGAAATATATTAATTGGATTTGACTGAGGGATTGGCTCAGGCAGTACACCATATTTTACTAAACTATCATTAAAAAAGGCTGGTAGGGTAACTTGGCAGGTTTTAGATAAATACAATGTGCTTGTGCTAAAAAAATGGATCTTCAAGGTTTCCAGTGGGAATTCTTACGGTTCAAAGGCAATAATTCAATTGACTCAAAACACAGACAGCTAGTTTTAATATTCTGAGGCAAACCCAGCATATTTTTAATGTCAGTGTAAGTAGCAAACCAACTCAGACCAGTCATAGCAACGGAAAGCTTATGCTGGTGTTGACCAAGAGTGCAGCATCTCCTTCTAAAGCAAGTGCCAGGGTCTGGCAGCTTTATAGAAATGGTATTAAAAATTAATTAAATAGTGTTACCTGTTGCTGTGGGCGATTGGTGATTGCATTGGTAGCAATCCCAGTGTCAGGATGTTGGACACATGGGTGCTTTTAACCAACCTCAGTGGAGAGCAAAGTTTTACTCTTTGTTACAGAAACCATTTTCTATGTTTCACTCAAGTCCTTAAAGTCCTTCTGATTTTATATATACTGTGTTACTTCTAAGTTGCTGAGTGTTTTCCTACTGTGTTCTAGTACAGCCAATAAAACCTTTTAGGTTGAACCTTGAACTTCAAATCATTTATGTGAACTGGAAGCTTAGCCATAGCGTCTCCTCCAAAACAAAAAATGCCGTTAATTTGATGGCAAATACCTCTGGGACCGTCCAAATCAGACTCTGGACAGTCAGCTGCCATCCACACCATCTTGCCTGTGCTTTCCTGGAGTCTGCATCCCTGTCCTGCACTAAATACAAGATCACAGCAAGGAAGGATGTGTTTTGGATCAGCGAGTGCCCGCTGCTACCAACCAGAGACATGGTGACCACCACACAGCTTTGAGAACGTGCAGGGGCCGATGCTTTAACCAAGAACTGAAGAGTAAGAACAACTTGGCTCATGCTGGACAGCACTTCTCCTGTGGGAGATTCCTCCATCTAAGATACAGCTGAGTTTGGTCCTCTAACAAACTCACCCAGGCTCCAGCATCTCCACAGATGTGCATTTTAATTATTTCCTTTTCTAAAAATGACATCCACTCTTGATCTCGGCAAGCACGGTGCAGGGAAAACCCCTCTTTCCTCTCCCAGTTCTCTTCCCTTCAAAAGTCTGATGGTGCAAATGCAGGGCAGGACTTAACAAGAAGTACTATGGGGGAAGAACGGTATTTGTCTGACCTCATTACTGTGTGATGCCATTTTACAAGCTTCCTTGTGGAATTCTTCAAAATAATTTCAGGAATCAGGTGAAATTCAGTTTGTCACTGACTGAGCTGTGACCTTCACTGAGCAGGGCACAAATCAAAAACTCATCAGGACTCCTGGCTGGGAACATCCTTACCGAAGGCTTCCTTGTTTTTTAAACAACAAAAAAATATTCAAGCAAGAAATGAGCGGAGGCATGGTTCAGTATGTGTTCTTTATTCCAATTAAAAGTACATTAGAAACAGCACACAGGACCAGCAGCAGCTTTCATGGCAATTCACCCCAATACTCTGCTGTCACGAGGTCATTCAGCTGTACTATGAAAGTAGGTGATTGAAACAAGTCTTCCACTCGACACGCAAGCACTCACTCACCTGCCACTTTAAATAGGTTTCCAACAGAATAAAAATAGATACACCCCAGAATACAAAAAGTTTAATTTTAACAGTTTGTTTTTTTTTTTTTCACTAAAGCCTTTATACAAATTGATAAAAGGGTGCACAATTTCCTAAAATTTTAGGTACATTTTAAATGAGCCTTTTTTTACTTGGTAAAAGGATCCATGTTCCTGTCTTTGAACAGAATATGATGGCCAAAATTGCAAAGAAAATTCCTAGTTAAATTTACAATTTATACATTTGATTTGAAGTGATTCCTGCACTGAGTAGCAGGCCGATGGCTGCTCACGCACATCCCATTTTCCCCAAAAAAGAGCTGTGCACCCTAAGTTCTAGTTCAGGAGCCTCCTTCTCCTGGAAACCGGGCTGGGGGAACAACCCACAGGCTTTCAGTTGTGCGCACGAGAATGGTCCCAACCCAACTAAAAGCCCGAGCACAGAAGTTGCAAATCCTTCCTTTTCCAGCAAGGATCGCCCTGGGGCAAGGGACCGGTGACCTGGTTTGCACTACGAGCACAATGAAAGTGGAGCGCTTCCCGTCTGCAATTTGGCTGAGCAATTTAACTCAAAACTCTGGTACTGAAACATACTGTAACAGGGAAATTTGGTGGTCTAAAGGTGTTTTTCTTGGTCAATACAAGCTATCATTATTTTTATTTCCTGTTTATTTCCTGTTTCTACTACTGATCGGTGAAGCCTAGCAGTTCTGTACATTATTCACACAGAGCTTCACAGGATCATCTCAGAACTGGCACCACCTGCCTAAAGGTGACTGTTTTCCCCCCTCAACACACATCAGCATTTGATGGAGCTGAATTTAGTTGAAAATTCGTTAGTACAGTTCCCTTCCCACTGCCCTCCCTCCCCACCCCACCCACCCACACCTTGGCAAGGCGAAACTCTTCGGGTTAACTTCTAGAGTACGTACATAAGCACTGTCACCACCGCACCGCTTGACGCATGGTGGCCATTCTAACAAATCGAGGATAAATTAAAAGAAAATACTGCCCAGCAAAAGCAACACGGCACCTGTGTTTGCGAGTATGAGCTACTGGAGACATCCTCAGGACAACTGACGTAAGGAAAAGCAGGGCAAATCCATCAGGAAGCCAGAAATGAGTCTTAAAGAGCTCAGGGGAGCGCCAAAGAGAATGACATCCTATTCTGTACAAGTTGAGTTTCCAGCCAAAAACCAGCTGCCTTGTTTGCTTTCTTTATGTTTTTTGTTTTTTTTCTTCTTTACTTCTGTCCATTATATATTTGACTTTTTAATTTTACCTGATCAGGTGAATGCTGAACTTTATTTCAATTAAAGGCAATAAAGTTTTGCTTTTTTTTCTTCTTTTTTAATTTTGTTTTATATAATTACCTATTGCCCATTTTTTGGCAAACATTATTTCATAGAATTCAAAAGATCTTTCCATTTTAAGGCTAAACTAAGAAATGTTAAAAGCTTCTGTAAACATTTCCTCTTCTTCCTCATAGTTGCACAATTTGAAGTCCAACTGCAATTTTTCAAATGAGGTAATTTTTGTGTACTCATTTTCTTAAAAGAGTCCTTTGCGGGACTAGCCGAGAGGCGTGCCAATCTGAGCGCTGATCCAATTGTAGTGGGAGAGCTTCCACAGCAGGGTACACACCAGTTCCAGCAGCTGCACTTCAGTTAGTTATCTTCTCAATTTCATCCAAGTCGTCGGTATCCAATTTGTTTATCTTTTTGTCTGGAAAAGATGAGAAAGAAGTCAGATTGCGTAACGCGGAGCAGAGAAGGGAAAGCTGCCTTTTAGCTGGTCTTGAGGACTTCAGCTTTAAGCCATGAAATGTTCAGTCAGGTTCTAAAACTACAACATAAACCTGTTTTTCTTTTCTTAAAGGCCCATCAGGGTACTCAAATGTTACCCATTTTATGGACTATCTAGGTAGCCAGCAAACAGACAACTTGACCTATTTCTGCTCCTATCAGAGGTAGCACTTCACAGTCTTAAGTGACATTTCACAAAACAACTGATGTGCTATTCTGCGGTCAGTTTAAGGCTCAATAAATAATTCCTCAGTGTACATCTAGCCCAAATTCTGCAGGAATAACATCTAATTTTAGAGAAAGAAGCAAGCCTGAGGGTACGTACTGAAATGTTCCTGGATTCTGTTGAGAATATTCATGCTGTGCTTGCTGTCCACCATGTTCACAGCCAGTCCTCGCTTGCCAAAGCGACCCGTACGTCCAATCCGGTGCAGATACGTCTCGTTATCTGGATTGCCATCTTTATCCACAGGAAGGTCAAAATTGATGACAACAGAGACCTGCTCTACATCAATCCCTAAGAAAAAAAGCAAGCATCAGATGGCACAACTGCATTTAAACCCTCTTGGAGCAGGAACAGCCTCCTCTGCCCTGACCTGTGTGCAGTTTGGTCACCACAGCCAGGCTACCCAACAGCAGAATTTCCGACAGATTTCAGAGCGCGGCTGCCCCGCTGTGCGAGGAGTTAAAAACCAGTCTCAAACTCTGAACTGGATCTTTTCCACAATGTGCTTACAGGGTAATTTGAAATTTAAAACCGTCTAGCTCTGATACCACTGAATCCCACTGAAACAGCCAATGGAAAAACAATTGGAGCTGCTCAGCTTTAACGGGCACTTACGTATTTTAGAAACTCCCTCTTCGTCTCCAAAGCTGAATAAGAAAAACAAGGAGCCTTTACAAGTACTACATCGTCTTAACTGTTCTAGGATGTCAAGTTGTAACAGAAATTCCTTCCAGAGTTCAGTATTATTCAGATTCAGTATTTTGGAACACGTTAAACACTTAAGGTCAGAAGTACAAGCCAGGCTGGGTGCCAAAGCATAAAATTCTCACAGGGTGGACTTTCTCATCTCAAGCTGCACGAAGCCTGCAAGGAATCCTGCTTGCCCACAGGCATCTTTATATGCACAGACATGGCCAGCAGCCCAAAATCTTAGGAATTACTTTAAGGACCCTAACTTCTCTGGACTAGAACACCTGAGGATACGAATTCTCGCTGTTAGCTGGCCAGCCATATCTTATTTTAGGAACCACTGCCTCTGCCATGCCCTACCTCTGGCACAGACGTTTGTGGTCACCAGCACCTTTTCTTTGCCCTCTCGGAAACGCTCTATCACAGCAGCTCTCTGTTCCACCATCATTTCCCCGCTGAGCAGCGCCACCTGATGGCCTTCCTTCGAGAGCTCCGCCGCTAGCCAGCCGGCCGTCTTGCGAGTCTGAAACACAAAGCGAGCCCTGTCTCTGGGAGGAAGTTTTAATGCTGTAAAGTGGGAAGAAACCTCTCTGGGATCGACTGGAAGCTCTCCAGTTGCTCGGCTTTTCTATCTCAAAAGGAAACAGCTCCTAAGTGCTGTGCCCACGCTGCTCCATAGTAGGAAAGTGTGCATGTCGCCACCACAGAAACCCTCCTTTAAGAAAAGGATGTGTTTTATTTGTTCTCTACTCCTCAGCTTTCACTCTATGAGGGATTATGTACCTATGCTAAAAACTCGCATGCGTTGTCAGGTAAACAAAACTACTCAGCTTGGAAAATGGCAGGGTTAGAGCTGAACGTAGTTGTGAAATCAAACAGAGGCTCTACCCACTCTTGAATTAAACAGTTTCCAATTACGATAGATTTTTGAGCTCTGATTACGTCTGGTATTATTACATCTCGAGACAGCCTATAAACAGACTGCTGCAGCAGACTCCAAATACAGGTTTGATCCTGTCTGAGCTAGCTTTACATGGCTATTCTGGTGCTGTCAGCACTGTCTGTTCCCTAATGGTGGCTTCCAGAAAAAATAAAAAAGACATCTCAGTATGGTTCCCAGGGAGACCTCCAGAGGTAGAACACCATTTATCTGAGGGAAGTCCCAAGAAAAGCTATGTATCAGCTGCAGAAATAAAACACTTCCCCAGCCCTCCTTCTGTCCTGTTTTTATCCATTTTCCATCCTCAGGGTTTAGGTTTTTTTCAGTAGTTCTGAGTAATACTCTGTTTTGGAAAACTGTGCATTACTCTGATCTTTGCTTCAGTGGACTTCAAGTATAAAAATTACCTGGATGGTCAAACCCAGAGAAACAAACTTGCTCGTGCTATCATGGCTCTCAAGATTTCACTCAAAGAGGGAGCCAGAAAAGCCAAAGAAAAAGGCAATTCACGTTCTTGGTTTCTTTCTGAAAAGTGTGCCTGGCCAGGTTTTAAAGTTTAGCAGACACTAATGGGGTCACTGGGACTATAACACTCCCCGAAAGGACTCACGTGGCAGAAGATCATGGCCTGGGCAATGGTGATAGCGCCGTAGATGTTGCAGAGAGCCTGGAACTTCTCATCTCTGTTATTGCACAGAACGTAATACTGCTTAATAGTGTCCAGTGTCTCCTCCTCTCGCTTCAGTTTGATAATGTTTGGGTCAGGAACAACTTTTTGAGCAAACTTCCACACAGAATCCTCAAAAGTGGCTGAAAACAGAAGCATCTGGCAGTCTCTGGGGAGCATTCTGCAAGAGAGAGCACAATGGGCAGCGTTCCCTCACAATGTTATCACACCCCCGATATCCTGATGGGATTAATGCTACGGGCAAAGCAGAACAAAAACCTCAGAAGCAGTTATTTCAGTGGCTGGAAAGGCTAATGCTAACCTTACCAACACCTGATCGTTCCCTCACGGATCAGTGACACCCAAACTTGCATTCTTGAAAATGAATAAACCCTGCTCCAGGGACAGGCTTTTTATTCTGTAAGAAAATGAAACTGCTTGTCATCCCCTGACATTCTCTCTCTATTAACCATCTGGATTAGAGCTAAATATATCATTTTAATCTTGTTGCTTTATCGGTGAAGACACCAGTCAAGAATCTAGCCCTGCTGTCCCTATGATACAAAGCAGCCATAATCAAAAGAAACAAAAACCACCTCCAGCAATGTACACCGAGTCCTCACCTCTGAATGCGGATGCTCTGGTCCTGATGCCCTTGGGTTGCTATCATCACGTCAGCCTCATCCAAGACGAACACTTTGATTTTCTTGGGATCTATGAATTTCAGTTTGGAACACCAGTCCAGCACAGTGCCAGGAGTGCCGATTACAATCTGCTCAGAGATCTTCTGACCTCTCTCCACTGCCGAGACAGAAAGGAAGGCTTTCATAAGATGGCTGCACAGCCAGTGAAATGCTCTGCCCTCTCTGAACTGGCCTGTTTCACACTCTGACTGCTCTATTGTTCCTTTACTCTATTGCACCGAGGAACATCCTTTTCTCATTTACAGTCTGTTGGTAGCATTTCACCTTACTCACATTTATTTCCTCGAACAGCATATGCAAGTTTCAGCTCCGGATAAAACTTTCCCATCTGTTCAATCACTTTTCCTGTTTGAAGTGCCAGCTCGTATGTTGGGGAAAGGCACAAACACTGGAGAGACAGAAGAATAACATGTTTCAGATGATCCCGGGTAACACTATCACACTTGCTTTTTAAAATCCTTATTGAAGTTTTCCTGAAGACAAACATGCTAGCAGCTGTAGAGTTTCTGAAAGCCCACCAGCCCTGCATCCTGCAACTAGAGAAGGAGTTCATGTGACACAGTCACCTGGCTATTGGCTTCCTGTGTGCAATTCTGCTCCTCAGGACCGAGAGTGCAAATACTCTGATGGGGGACGTATGTGGACAGTAGTGACAGGGACCCTAGTCTTAGACTAAGAGATAAGAACAGGATTTTTAAAGGGAAAAAACTTGGTAAACTTGGTAAAACTGCTCAACTACCTCATAATAAAACTGGGTTAAAAAAAGCCCCTTTCTGGGCATTGTCTGCTCTATTGTCACAGATATCTTCTCTTCCATCCCAAATTCCACTTACTTAATCCCCTTCAGCCTGCAATATTTCTCTGATTTAATTTCTCCCAGAATGATATCCCCTCTAATTAACTCCTCACAGAGCAATGGCATCCTGAGTGATGCAAGGGAGGGACTAACAGGAACAAGTTGTGAGCAAAATCCACGTCCTTTGCATTCAAAGCATTTTGATAGATCCCTGAACTACCAGCCTTTGCTAAGTTTACAGAAAGAGCATCACAGAGATGGGTTTATCAAGCTATGAATTTACTGTCAACGGTCTCAACAGCAGCTCAGCTTCTTCACTAGGTGGCAACGCACCACCACGAAACCCCCCCAGAACAGTCACATCCCAGAAACGTCACCTGTGGATACTTGTTCCCAGGCTCAACACGACTGAGCATGGCCAGGACAAAGGCAGCTGTCTTGCCAGTACCAGACTGAGATTGTGCGATCAGGTTCTGTGGGCTGTAGAACAGAGAGCAGACACGTGCTCAACCAGATGAGCGACCCAGACAGCGTATTCATGAGGTTGAACGATAAAGAAAACACGAGTGGCATTTTAATACCTTTTAGATTTATCACTGCCCTGGATTGGTGCCTAACTTGACCAGCTATGCTCCACAGGGCAGAAGTTAGTTCTTGCCCTCTACCAATGCTCTCTTTCAGCACGTCTTGATTATGGTCATTTGGAAGGAAAGCTGTGATTATCTGTCAGTACTTTTCCATTTTGCATATCTCCCCCTAGTGACTTAACACTTCATACATTTCAGCTCAGGAGTGCAGAGAGGAAAACCAGCCATGCAGGCAACACAGCATCGCACCTACACCCACCCACCCAGGATTTCTGGAGCCATGTTCCAAAGCAGCCTTATTATTTCTCTCCTACGCTGACTACGAAAATCAGACTGACCTTGGCCGAACACTGCAGCACTGCATGTTCAGTACCAGCCCTGGGAAAAGGGCAAATCCATGGGTGCTGTCACATAGTTCATGACTACAGAAACACCATGGCATGGGAACCCTTTCACCACAGCCTGGACAGCTCCCTCATCACCCTCCTCCCCTCTAAAGCTCCATATTAGTATGCTAAATTTTTCAAGTCCTGCCTATACTGGAAGAGAGTGGAAAGTATGGGTACATACGGTTCAGCAAGCATCATGGGCAAGGCATTCTCTTGTATCTTAGATGGTCTGTTGAAGCCCATGGCATAGACTCCTTGCAGAAGCTGTGGTTTCCTGAAAACAAAGGAGTTTTTATACCATGACTATTAAAGTACATTTGGTTTTCATTTGTGTACAAAAAGGTGAGAGAAATCCTTGCAACCAAAGAGCTGCCTCTTTCTGTGTACCCACTGTAATTGCACTGGTGGAGTGACTACGATCAATGCCTGGAAGCTACAACAAGGGACAGTAGAAAGTTTGGCAAGGAAGCTTTGCAAAACCCCCTCGAGTTAGTAAATCAGCCTGCATGCCTGCCTTTCACAGGTACATGGGAAACCATGTCACAGCTCTACAGCTAGCGCTGGGCTTCTTGTTCTAAAGCAGCTTTTCAGACAATCCTGGGGATGCCAGGCCAGAGAGCATTAATCCTGTCCTTTAGGCCAATCCCTTTTCCTCAGCCATACTTAATCTTGGCACCAAAATTATCACTCTTTGAAGACTCCAATACAGGACAAAGCGACCTCAGTACGAGGAACAGAATGAAGCGTAATGTCCTGAAACCATCGCAAGGACTTCAGTAAGTCGTGATGGATTCTGTCACACATACAGTGTGATAACACCAGAGCGATCCTGGCTTAGCACACAAAGCTGGTCAATGACTGATGCTCACCATGACTGCACCTGGTGATCCATGGTTATAACCCAGCATCCAAACCAAAGTGTGTCCTCAAGAGCTTTTTCTCAAGGGACCTTTCTAGTCTTAACAGACACTTATGGAGACAAGGAGATCCAAGAACAACCTAAAATTCAGGTTATGGTGCTAGGAAACTCTTAGCAAATGACCTCCTCTGGCTTACTAGAGTGCTGTTAGCAGTCCTCAGAAGTAAGGGCTTCCCTTTCAAAGCAGGTTACAGGTTTCCTGCCCACCATTTCCCACTGTTAAGAACTTCCTATTCAGCACAACGTGCTTTTTAAAAATCGTGTATTACTTTCAGATGACGGCTGGAACAAAAGCTCTTTGAAAACATAACCTTTTGCTGCTCAGAAGCAAGGACGTACAAAGCCCCACTCTGCAACAGTTGCCAAGGATACACCAAGTCATAACAAAATGAAGACTCAATTAGTCTGGCTGCCCCCATCATTAACTCACTTGGACTGTTTGGCTTTTGAAAGATGGGAATTAGTCTACCAGGCACTACAGGACCTCAGCTTTTTTTGTAGGCATTCAACCACTAATATCAACAAACCGAAACGACATCCTGACATTTCATGGCGAGAAGTCTCATCGGCTCTGATATCCCCATGGAGCTTGCAAAAGAGCAACAAACCTGAGATCATCAATATAACCAACAACAATCCCAACAGGACAGCCTCTTCAGCACATTAAAAAAATACATAAATCTATCACCCCTTAAATACTGCTATCATTGTTTGAAAGCTCCACTGGTAAAGGTATTCAATAGGAAGGGTCAGAAAATACTAACGCTAGTAGTCTCTCCAGTACATAAATCCAGTATTGCTGGCAGAGAAAAGATAAGCTTTTCCCTTTGTGCTATTCACTGCTGCTGCTGGACCTGCACAAATAACCGCCAGAGAATGGGCACAGAAGGTGGTTCATTACTTCTGCCAATAAAACAAATCTTGTTTTCCAAAGCACTGCTGTGCTGCTGGAACACCTGCCCCGAGCCTCTCCGCCTTTGCTGGAGAGCTGGTGGCAAAATGACAATGTCCCTGACACAGAAAAGGTCTCTTTTTGCGATTCACGTGGCCTTGGGGACAGCGGCCATGGAAGCACAGCCCTCCCTCCTCTGGTCACCTCATCCAGCTTGTCACACATGAGCTTCACTGTGCATCTGAAGACCAAAACCCATACATTAAAATTCAGAATACTGTTGCTAGAGCTGATTACAGAAAGCAGTGCTAGCTCTACACAGACCAGGAGTTCAAATGACCTTGTTTCAGTTGGAAGCCTTCACGAGGAACCAAGATAAAATAATCCTCCTTGCATTGAAATAATACAATAAATGACATGCTCATTTATTAATGACAATTTTGCAATAATTGGAAACAGAAACCCATGCACTTTTAAGTGGTATCTCCTACTCAGCCAGGAATTCTAACAGGACTTACAGCCGCAGCTCCTCAAAAGACTTCACGGAGTAGAGAGGCGACGTGGGATCCCTCTGCAGCACCTCCACCTGATTTGTTGTGTCAACCAAGTTACTGCGGATTAGCTTGTTCAGCAAGGACTGGGCAGCTCTGTCCTCTGTTGAAAAGGGAGGTAGAAGAAGTAAATAAATCACAGCCTGCTTCAGGTGTTGCTCCCACTGAAACGGTGCATTACTGAGCCAGTTTAAAAGGACAAGATGCCTCCAAAGTCTGAAATTCTCTATCACAGAGCAATGGCATGAAAGAGCCCAAACTTTTTGAGAGAAACAGTTATCAGGATATCACAGAGATTCACATTTAATATTAGGAAGACAAACCAAAATGAGCACTGTTTTAAGGGGGATCTTAACAGAGAAAGAACGGTGCTGATTTGAGATATTATAGCTTAGCATCCAACTGGAAGGTGGGACAAGGCTAAAAGCCTCACTATTATCTGACATGAGAGCAGACACCTTTTAGGGTTTTTTTTCTTTTCAAGGAAAGTTTGAGGCCGAACGCTACTTTGAAAGGTGCCAAGGCTGAAATACAGTAAGGGCTGAGGATAAGTGAGATCAAAATGGAAGGCTAAACTGCTGCACTTTGGGGTTTTCCTAATAAACCTGTTTTCTAAAGCCGCCTTCTGAAGCATTTAGAGCTGTTACCCACCTCTTAACGGCCATTTCATAAACGCAACGTGCTGGTTGCTACAGCAATTCCAGCTCCAGGTTATCCAACTGCTCCTGTCTCCAGTCCTGCCTTTGAGAACACTGCTATCCCCTTATTTCTCTCCACTCTAATCCAGGAGTCTCCCAAGTTATTACAGGACCAAATGGCTTTAAAAGTATTATGGAAGAAAGACGTGGCTTACAATTAAGTCCTTGGAGCAGGATACAAGATCATCCATCCTGAGACATAAGGCAGACTTACTTTAAGTATATACAAAATTAGTTTTCTTTTCAACATTCCTTGCCAAAGCATTTGTCAAGGCAGCGCTTACCCTTCTCCTCATCCTCCGTCTTCTCTATGTTGTCGTCTGCCTTGACAACAGCACCTAAAGTAAAACAGACAGTTCTGGGGCAGATGCGAGGTCAGGCACCCCACACCCACAGAGTTTTAGGTTTCAAATATTGTGGGAAAAGCTACAAAACAGCTCATTTTCCTGGGGAGAACAGCCCTGCTTTATTGGTGCGCAGAAGAAACCAAAGTTACGGCTTGCACTGAAGTTTATCAACCACTGTAAGAGATTTTGCCCACACAGCTCCTTGAATACATCAAAACATGATTTTAAAAAGTCAGCCTTGCAGACCAAGTGTGCGAGCCAGATATTTAGTCTACGCTGCTGTTTAATCTTAGCTTTATGTTTCCTTTTTCTGGAATTTTTTGACTAATTGGCGATTTACTTTAGCAGCAGCGCTCCAAACCCAACGGAAAAACATTTCTAAGCCCATTTGAGTGGCTGGAACTCACCATTGGCATCTGGTTTGGTTTTTTCCTCCTTCAGATGTAAACTGCTCAACTGCAAGTGAGGAAGAACACAAAGTCAGAGTCCTGCGAAGGCCACTGTACCTATGTTTTACTAATGGAAAAAGCTCAGAAAAACCTGAGCTTTCATCAACACCTCCAGATTTATCACCCGCATAGTGACAACCCAAGCCTGAAGGCAAACAAGATGAAGTTAGCGAGATGAGCTTGATCTTGAGTTTTAAAACAAATACTTTTTCTCAGCTGTAAGGGAGAAGGGGTTTGTTTTCTGACCCTGTGACTCGGCTCGCTAATTGCTCTGCTGATGGCAAATGGGAGAAAATTTACATTCCAGGATGGAGAGGAGAGCCGAGGGCAGTGCTGGCTGCCCCAGGACACATCCCTCTCACCCAGGGTTTGTTTCACCACCAGAAATGTGATGGGGAGGGGAGCCCCAAGGGTCTTCTTGCACATCCAGGCTGAGTTCATGCTCTCCTTGCTAAAGCACAGCGCTTGAACGGCTCAGAGAAATAAAAACCCCAACACCTCAAACAAATCTAGATCTTATCACAGGGAAAAAAAAAAAGAGAGAAAAGATATTTTTTTTTTCCCCCTGAAGACCACAGGCTTGGTGACCACCTCAGAAACGGTGCTGCTGACAGGGCTGTGTCTATATGTAGGGTGAGGGGGAAGGAGAGGGGCCTCCCTACC